GGCCATAAGCACTGGGCTGGTCTGGGTTGTTTCTTCTCCTTGCTGGTTTCCTTCCCCACCCTGTTCTCACTGCCTCAGGACACCAAGAAAGTGGTGGAAGCAGGTGCCATCCAGTCTGTAGCAGTCCTGAAATGAAGTGCAGAGCTGAGCTGTCTTGTTCATGGAGGCCAGATGGTCCTCACATTAGAGGAAATTATATAGGAAAAAAAAACCAAAAAAGAAATATCTTTCATCAAGATAAAAAGTGACTGTGCAGAGGCACTTGAAATGGATTTATTTGTTGCCGATCTTTGAAAAACACATGGAAAGAAATTAGGGAAATTAATGAGGAAAGGCAAGAGGAAGGGAGGATTGCCTGGATGCAGCCTTCAGCACAGGAAGGGCCTGACCAACAGGTTTCCAAAAGGAAGGAGAGGAAGGGAGAAGTATAGGAAAGATGTAGAATAACTTTCCTTCCTTCTTTCCCTTGAAAGCACAGAGTTCTGGTCAAGGTGGAGTTTTTGTCTTAAGCCTGGGTGAAATTTTATGTATTCTTACGCTTTCCAGGGACTGTTATGACACATAAATAAACAAGGTTCCAGTACCAATATAAATGTTAATTATGTTCAAAAGCAGTTTGTGGCTGAGAGATGGAATTGGAAGATTTATTTAAATTCCCACCGAAACAAGAATGAATTCGGGGACTGTATTTGCTGGGAGGGGGAGCGGAGGCAAAATGTGGCTCTCCCAGACAGAAAAGCAAGAATTTCTTCTGCAATTAACCCCTTTACCTGGCTTTGTGCTATAGGTTGTATTAATGCCCTTAGTTTAAAATTTCAAATTATCAGAAATATTAATAAACATTAAGCAGTGGCTGAGGGATAATTTATACAAAGTGCAGTGAAGGCATACCGTGGCAGTGCTTGTTTTTTTAAGACATTTGTAGTGGGGTGAGAAGCTCCCAGTAAAACACCCAGATGAACACACATCATTTGTTCTGTGTCACCTGAGGCTCTGAAGCAAGAAATTTGCATTAATATTTGGTAGGAATTACAAGTAAGTCAGAACCAAGATTGGCCATGACCCCACGTCCTCTGAGCCCAGGAGGAAAGTTTTCCTTGCTTTGGCTGCCTTGAGATAAGTCCATGGTGGGGGGATGCTCTACCAGAGAAGGGACCTGGGAAGGATGAGGCCTTGGAGACAATCTGTGAGAATTAAATAAGAAGGATGTCTAGGTCAAAAATTTGTATTTTTGTCACTGTTATTTTTATGTATAAAAACAAGTCCTGGCACAAGTTGGGTGAATAATTTTTAGTCTGAAGGTTATTAACAGTTGAATTGATTGATTCTCAGGTGTTAACTACTTCTGCTTTGTGTTGGATCATAAGAATCACAAGGATTTCTTTACATCCCAAAGTGGATTACCAGTGCATAAAACTGGAGAATGACCAATTGCTGATAGTAAATAATGGAGAAAGTCCATGAGTCAAATTTATTAAATCTGTAGAATTTTTCTCTGAGTTTCCTCAAATATCATCCACTTTTCCCAAATAACAAATGACATGATCTGCATGAGCACAAAATAACAAAGTCAACATTTATCTACATGGAAACATCTGCAAATCAAGACCTGGTGGAATGTTTGTTCAGCACTGGAAGTGTATTAGCTCTTCTTCCAGAAATAATAAAATCAACACGTTTATCCTCTATATGATCATTTTGATACTTTATAAAGTAAAAGCACTCTGAGTCAGGAAAGCACTGCAAAGTGTTTACAAAAGCAAGGGGCTTGGTCTTGTCAGAGGGAAGTCGATGGCAAAATGCCAGTAGAGTTAAGTACTAAAGAAAACAGTCACTGGAGCAATGAGCTGTAATCTTCCTTAATCTATAGTATCAGCTGTTGGCAGATACATACAGAGTGATTAATAGATGCAAAAAAATTTTAACAAAGCAATAGGGACTTGGAGACTGCTCTGAAAATGTCTCTGTCACATTTATAAATCCACCAGTGGTACCATCACTGCAAAGTATGATAAAACATATGTTTTCTCTACCAGCTTGCTGGTAGGTCTAATCTAAAGTGTCATCAAACTATGGGAATTGGCTACTGGAAATGAAACTCCTGTTCTGCTCTTCTCTGTTCCTTCTCAGAGATGAGAAGAGAAGCCCCGCTGGGATCTGGCCATCTCACATGTTCCACAAACCTCCTTCAGACACGAGATCCTTCCAGCTGGAGCTTCTACTCCAAACATTTGTCTTGGAGGGATTTATTTGTTTATTTATTGTTAGCAAGAAATTAAAGGAGAATGGGGGATGAACGATACATTTCTTGCATTTTGCAACAGCTGCTGCTTTAGCTAAAAGCAATGGTCTTAAACAATGCAGTGCAGGGGGACTGGTCCACATTCCCCTCTGGGTGTCCAGGCACAGCCCCAGCTCCCATGCCAGGATGGTCACACAACATACTTGCATTAGAAGGTTAAGATGTTAGTTTATCTCTTTTCCTCTTTCAGGACTGATTGCAATAAACATCTGCATTGATAAGGGTACTTTTAGGGATGGGAAGCAGCTTAATTCTAGTGGCAGAAGATTTGTGTTTTCTTTGTGTTTTCTGAACAGGAGGGCAGTTGAATTTTGGCATGTCCAAGAAGAATTGGGCTGCTGGAGCAGAAGCAGGGGGAACTATCCAGACCCCAAGGTGCTCATCCCCCAGCCAGGAGTTTGGGTGGCTGCCCCTGAGTGAGAAGGAGCCACAAGGAGATTCTTGAGATGGCTGCCTGTCTCCAGCCAGCACAGAGCTCCTCTGCTGGGACAGGACAGCTGCAATCATGGCACTGCCAGAATGTTTACAGTACCATCACTCCACTGTGTCCATGGCAAAATAAGGAGATATCCAGGCTTTTGCTGTCTGATGTGCCATCAGCTTGGCACGTAGCAGAGTGACCATGCCCTGGCCCATAGATGTCTTTGGAGACTTAACTAGAACTCTCAACATCTAGCAAGATTTCAATTTCTGTTGATATTTAAGTACAGGAGTGGTGTGACTTCAAGGAGCAATGGCCAATAATAAAGATATTTTAGACTTAGATTAGATATTCATTCTCAGTCTGAAGGATATGACCTTCAAAAAAATGGTAGTTTGAAAAGCAGGATAACAAACACCTCCTTGGAGTTATGATCAGAAGGTTATTATTCCTTTGAAGGCCTCTGCAAGTTCCAGAAAGGTGAGCACGATCCTACCACCAGTACATGGAGGTACTACAGCATCATCAGGGAGTTTCATCAGGATGCTGCCGTCTCTGATGATACAGAGCCTGTGGAGATGGCTCGTATTTTGGGTCATCTGGACTAACTCCATCAAAAGCCAAAAGACCCTGCACATTGAGCTGGCAGTTACTCCTGTCCTTCCCATCATAAAGCTCTTTGTGAACAGTCAGTCCCTTAGAAAACCCAAATTCTGTGCCTAGCAAGGACTATCTGAGAGTATTTCCAAGGACACATGGTTTCAGTCAGCTGGAAGACTACTTTCTCGATATAAACATGCCCCAGTTTTCCTAGATACAATGTTGTGGCAACCTCTCTTCCTCATCTAGATCCTGCCTCAGGTTTCTGCACCCAAGGGACCTCCAGAACTAGCATCCTAAATCTAAAGGCTGCAGGGCAAGCTTTGGTATCTCAATGAAAACTATTAATACAGATATGGCACAGCTCCTGACTAGTGGAGATCTCACCTTACAGCCATGCATTTATTTGGTATATTTATTTATGAAGAATGCATGGGGTACTCAAAGATTTGCTACATCCTTGATGTAAGCTTCAACAGATTTGTTTGGGTAAATATTGAAGGGAGAGGTAAAAAAGTTCAGCCTCTGTATTTTTATCCTTTGCCCCCTGATTGAGATTAGGTTTAATCTTTTCAATATGTGGTCCACTGTTTTACTGAGCTTGTCTTTTAATGGGATTATTCAGAAATCAGCTAACAGATCTTGCAGTTTCTATGCCACCTTCATTCCCCTGGCAATGCTTATGGGTAGAGAAGTCTTAACATTCACTTCAAAGTCAGCCCCCAAGACTTCATACAGGCCCAGTAAAAATAAAATTATCCATCCTTGATGTTACAAAGAGCTGCTCTCTGTAGCTCCTTTTTAGGGGACTGTAACACATAATCAGAGCTCTGCATTGAAATGGGCATATTACTAACTGGAAATAAGGATAAAATCTGCAACTGCTCCACATGAAACAATGCAGTTTGGGCTTTGCAGACCTTAATTCTACTGCAGAGTACACAGAGCAGCTTACTACATGGTTATCCACAAAAGCATTTGCTTTGGGCTGAAACAACTTGTCATGCTGACTGAGTGGCACAGCTCCCTCTGGGAGACATGGACCAGGCTCCTCACTAACTGCAGCAGAGTAGGGCTCATCCTGGCCTGAGTTTAGCAGGGTTAATCTGGCTCAAAGCTAAAGCAGAAGCAACTTCCTGCTCCTGACATCCCCTTCCTTGTGTTTTCCTCCCTGGTTAGCTGTGACTCCTCGTTCACTGTCTGCAGACCTGGCCTTGAGAGGCAGCCAAGCTGCAGCACTTCAGCCGTCAAGTGGGATAAAAAAAACAACCCAAAAGCAGATTTCATGCATCTCCTCTGTCACTTGTGTTGTGCAATCGTGACTTTTTTTACAAACCAGACCCCAACATCAGAGTCAGAGCCCGTGACTCTGCAGGAGAAAAAAGCGCGGTCCCCAGCAGCCGGGATGAGGATGAGATGAGCCAGCAAGGAAAGCTGGATGCATTTGTCAGCCTGACTACGTGATGCTGCTTCTTCAGCTCAGCATCTCCAGCGTTTCGGGAGGAGGATTTATTCCGCTGGCTGCTGCAGCCCTCTCGTGGCCACACAGACGCAGCCGCGCTCCTGCTGCTGGGAAAGCACAGCCCGAAATTCCGTGTGGGAGGAGAGCGTCTTGTAAAAAGCACAACAAATAGTTATTAAATAGCATGTTCGCCCAAGAATAAATATATAAATAAATGGAACAGACACTTAGGATGCTATTTATTCCAGGTGTACAAGCAGAGTCGTTGATAAATTACTTGCTTTTGAAGAATCAAAAGAAAAAATACAGATAAAGCACTAAGCAGCCGTGTTTTTAATGGGGTGTCCTATTTCATCTCTCCAGGCTGTCGCTAAACAGTCTGCTTTGAAGTGCTCCTTTTCTTCTGAGCATTTGCACATTGATTTACAATGGTGTGGGTAAATATTGTGCTCACAGATGGGTTTTGCTGAGTATCTGCTTATTGGAAATGTGTCTGCCTGCTCAGGAAACTCCAAGGAGGGATGAAAAACCTTTTGGGTTGGGGAAGATCTGGGGGAATTTGGACTGTGCCAAATTCCTGCAAAGATTAACAGACAGATTGTTCTTTGGAACTTGAAAAGCAAGCCTGGTTTGGGGTACATTTTGTTTTTCCTTTCTAGATAGAAACCAGAGACATCACTATCGCTTGGGAGTAAACCACAGGACTCCATAGTGGAAGGAGAACATGAATGGGAGCAGTGCTGAGAGCCTGCCCAACAGCCCAGCTGTACACTCCCTGCCCAGTGCTGGGAGCCAGCACAAGCAAAGGAGATGCCTATAGAACAAATAGAATGGATCAAAGGGAAAAGCTTGTGCACAGGGATGGTGCACAGGTATTCCTCTGGAGGAGGTTGTCTAGTTTTGATCGATGTTTCTTGAAATAACAGCAACAGTACCTACAGACCAGGGTGCTGCAGTACTGCCAGAGAGATATTATGCTACTGTTTTCCCAATACTTTTCTCTTTTTTTCCCTTACAGGAGTTTCAGGAGAAATGGTTGCACTTCAAAAAGATATGATATAAACCAAACCCAACCTAAAAAATATACCCCAAAAGAGCAAAGGACAGAATGGAGCTACAGTGACTCCATGGGCTCGTTACCTTTTCAGACGGTGTGATGCTACTCCTGGCAGTAACTGCGTCTGGGCAGATGGCCAGTGAATGGGGGGTGGATGGGTTTAGCAGCACCAGCAGGGCTCTGGATGACAATGACATCTAATGTTTTGCAAGCCATTGTGCTGACCCATGTGTTCATGATGCTGGAACAAGCCATTTGATCCATACCAGACATCAAGAAGGCAGCGGTACCTGAGCCCCTTCAGGTGCACACAGGTGTGTGTTATCCAGGTTAAGCATGGAAAAATCAGTTCATAGAGATGGGCTCTGTGCCTGCAGGTATTTTCCATCTAAGCTGGTGTTTCCTGCCCTGAGACCTCTTTGCAGTGAGCCTGGCGTGGCTGCAGGCAGCTTTTCCCCGTGTGGTCAATCCAAGGTCTGCACTGCTCTAAGGCACTAAATGCAGAGCCAAACCTCCCTGGCATCCTCTGGCAGCACCTCTTTCAGCCCCCCAAACAGCTCAGGACCCTGTGGTAATAGTCTTATCTCACCTATATTAACATCTTAACCACATACACCATATTTGAGTACTATAGGTACTGTTTTGCTGTGCTGTAGCAATGAGACACAGGCTGCCTCCCAGGGCTGCAGCACAAGGACAAGCTGCAGCTCACTCACAGCTCTTCCACATCCCCAGGCTCATCTTTCTCACTTACAAGAAATCCTTAATGCTCTCATAAAATGGTATTTTGCATATTTTTTGTTTTTAACTAAATAACCTCTTTGCTCTTCATTTTCTGTAAGCTCATATGTGCAGAAAAAGATGTGACTTTTTTTGGTTTAAGATTGCTTTTATTTTATATGGAGACAAACTGTAGTAAGAAAGTAACAAAATTAATATCTACCTGAAAGAACATGTGGCAAGGATCATCCTGGGATCTGAAATATTCTCCAAATAAAAAGGCTGATAAATTTTTAAGACATGTCCATATTGCAAGATGCTGAGAGGCTTGGGGTAGTAAATACTTACATTGACAAAACCATGTGAAATACCCTAATGCAGAGCAACTTACAGTTCAGGTCCGGGTGCAAAGCAGCTGGGATATCTTGCTGGTTTTGTCCAGCACAAATGGAAGCATTGGGTCTGTACACGGCCAGCACAAGGGCTGCAGCCTCCTCCTGGCTGCAAAGCAACCCCTGGTCATACAGACCCATCTTTAGATATGTAAACATCCTGTCTACATAGAAAAGTGGAAGTCCCAGTGTTGGAAGCACAGACAGGATGCTTACTGTGAAAAAACAAGTCCATGTAGGCTTTTAGGGAGATGGAGCTCTTTACTTTCTGGAAAATATTCTCCTAGGGATGGACTAAGTAGCCAGGGTGTAATCTTGGACCTGGTGACCTCATCAGGACAAGGAACTCGTCCCAGTGTGGCGGGCAGCTCTGCTGGCACTGGCTGGCAGTGGTAGGCTGCAGCTGAGCCCCACTTTCTTGCCTTCTTGCCTGCGAGTCATCTTCTTTCTATGCTACACATTCCTGTGACTGCATCACCCCCATCCCCACCCCAGTTTGTCCTCTGCAGTCAGTCCGGCTTTAGGACTCCACCACGATCATGCTCAGGTTGTTGCTGAAGATGATCCTGCCGTCCTTGGTGCTGCTACACTCGGGCTGGCACAGGGCCTCCCGCAGCCGCTGCCTCAGCGCCGGTGGCGCCGTGCCCAGGAAGTCTTTTGTCCCCGTCAGGAAATCCATCATGAGGCCGCCAACCGCGTCCCCCTCAACGAAGCACTCGGTGATATCCCATCCCGACGGGAACTCGTACACGCGGTGTTCGACTCCGAGTCTCTTCAGGACATCCGTGATGCCGCTGGAGGTGATGTAGTGGCCGCTGTCAGTGGAAGGCAGGCAGTCCCTGTGCTTCTTCCATAAGCTGGCCCACCCGCTGCTGTCTGCCAGGGCAGGAGGGGAGGTTACTTTTGCAAAGCCAAGGCAGTCAAACACCAGCTAATGCACCTGCAAAATGAGCTGGAAATGCTCCCTCGCTGCTGGCCCAGGCCTTGCCAGGACCAGGAGGAGTGCTTTCCCCTTACTTGAGTCTACCTATAAAAGTCTGTGCCTAGAGAGGGGTAAAACTCTTTTCTCCCTCAGCCTTCCCTCCAAAACTCTGCTGTTTAAAGGAAACTCCTAGGTGATGGTCTCCAGCACTGGGATTGACCAGAAGGAGGGATACACACAGAAGTACCAACATGCTGACCCTGAACATCCACACTACCTGTTACTTGTCTCTTGGCTAGAATAGTGCAGATGTTTTTATACATCATACTTCATTTTTAAGTGCACATCAAAGAATATATACCTGGAAAAATAGCCCCAAATAGCAAGGGAAACAGCCTACAGGCAATGTGAGAGAGAGTTTTAATGGCAAACACAGGAAAGTGTGCTTTATCCACCCCACCATGAGCCCAGGATTTATGAATGACACAAGGGATAAAGCACTCTATTGTTTTTAATAAATGCCACCATGTTATAAGTGCCTCTTTTTCCTGTCCTACTATAAAGCCTGCAGCTCTTGGCAGCATCTGTTCTGCTGGAGTCTGTGCCCACCAGACTGTGCAGAAATAAGAGCACCAAAAATGGGCCCACCCAGAGCTCTGGTTGTGTTTTGACAGTGCTGATTTCGCCAGGAAGAAGGATTGACCCCCATTCATAAACAGCCACACTTCCGTCTACTAAATCTTCATAAGCAGGGAAGCAAGAACACAAAATCTGTGCCTTAGACATTGGGATCCAAGAGACTAAGCCCAAGATTGCATGCTCCATATGAAATCCAGCACTAGTTTTAGTTATCTACTACAGAATAATTGTTACCGAAATCCCCAGGTAAACATCTGTGGCTCTCAAATTCAAAGCTCTTCAAAACTCCGGGAATGAAGCAAAAAAATAGAAGGTCCCACTTACCAGACAAAATTATGATCAGGAGTTTACCATGAAGGTCGAGGCAGCTGTGGAAAAACTTGATAGTATTGGGAATATCCTCCACACGGTACAGCATCTAGAAGAGACAGTTACACATAGCCATTATTCCTCCTCCACAGTGCAATGACACTCCAAAGCCTTAAACCCTTTCTATAGAGTTGTTTTTAATTGTGTACCAGTTGCTTCCCAGCCTGTCCTGACTCAGCACACACATTTAGGGACACTTCACAGGACTGGGCATTGTCAGCTTTGGTGTTTGTGGAGCCCCTGCAGGAGTTATTGCTCATGGGAGAGCATCCTAACTTCATGCATACATCAGAAATTAAGGGGGGGAGTGAAAGCTAATACTCCTATGTCAAAGCAATGCCCATTACCTGGATCATATGGATGAAGTCAAATTTCTTATGCGTGCCTTTCTCTTTCACCTGCTGTTCGTACTCTGAGGAAGTGAGCTGGTGCCAAATAAAAGAGACATTCTGCAGGTCTGGAGCTTGATTCACCAACTCTGTTTTATAAAGTAGAAAAAAACCATTAATTTAGCAGAACAGCAGATGGATGGTCCTCACTGTACCCCAGGCAGCAGGTACAGCCTTACCTTTGTAAGCTGCCACATGCTGCGGATTGGGCTCTACGATTTCGTTGTCAATAAGGACCCCTGGGTGCACAGCCTGCAGTATCCTGATCATTTTCAAATCCTGCTCACCTATTCAATAAACACAAATTCATTGCTTTAAGAAGTAGGTAAATGTGATGAACAGGTGCCAGAGCATCTACCACCACTACTGCCAGGAAATCCCCTGAGGAAGAGTGAGGCATGTTTGACCTTGTGGCTTGCATGGTGGAATCTGTGTGGGTATGTGCCCTGCAAAGTTAGCTATTGGTGCTCCTCTGTTGCAGTCTAAGCTCTGGAGAAGCAAGCAGCAGCCTGTCCTCCTGTGCTAGGAAATTTCCAGCTTTTTTTGAGGTCATGCAGGTCTCTTTGGTTTTTTCCCAGAAATGCTGTGATATACCAAGTCTAAAAAGTCCACCTGGTTCACCTGGAACTATGTAAATAAACAGCAGAGGTGGGCACCTTGCAGGGACTTCAGCAAGAATCCTGTCTCTAGCTGATGGTGGGGCCTAAAAATAGTCCTGCCTGTGCAAATGTCACACTGAGAGGTCTTGATATGAGATACTGCATCCTCCCTAGCCTTTCAGCTCATGAGAGCCATGAGAAAACTCGTCATCTTTGGCAGGTGTTGCAATAAATAGAATTCAAGGAGGGAAATACTACCCATGCCAGCACTAAAGGGACATCCAGGGCAGGAGGAATCCTTTGAAATTGGAGAAAAAATACCCAAGGCCCCTGAGCAATGAAGTGGCAGCAGTGCAGGGTTGGCCAAAGGCACAAGGGAAGAGACTGTGGCTGCATCAGCTGAAGGCAGGTGCGCAGACCAACATTGTTGTCAGGAAGGAAGATTCCCATAGCAAGCAGCTGAATCACTTTAGAAAGTCCTAAATTTCAGTTTTTAAATACCTGGGGTGGGGAGCACCAGCCCTTAGAGGTGCTGCCGTGGGCTCCCTGCAAGCTCAGAGCAGGTTGGAGGCAAAGGATCACTGCGCCATGCCCTAGAGCCACTGATGGTGGCAAATGAGTATACCAGCAGCAAGTGGGTATCTTAAAAGCTGCTTGGGATTGGTTTTTTTCACTCCATCTCTGCAAAATTCCTTAATCCAGTCTTTGCAAGAGCAGGTAATAACGTCCTCAACCAGGCTGTCTGCAGAAAAGAAGCAGTAAAATATGATGCTCCAGAGCAGGGATTTCTCTGCTCCAGCTTGCTCTGCCAGCAACAACCCTTCAGCACTGGCCACAGCAGGGCTGGGACAGTAATGAAACCACTCTGGCAACCAACAGCCCATGCTGCTGGAACTGGGAAGTTTCAGCCCATAGTTAATCCGGTCATGGGAAAACTCAGGGTGAATGAGAAAATGTGATCTGGATTGGCACACAGGCTTTTAGGATGTAGAGTTGGTCACTAATCCCCATTAATATTTTCATCAACTAAACTAATTCTGGGGGCTCTGTGAAACCCGAGTCCATGCCTGGAAAGGTCAGGGATCAGACATAACCTTTTGCTCAGTGCCATCCCAGCTCACTCCCTGCCCAGCCACAGACATTCCGCTCATGCAGCCATGGGCAAGCTGAGGGGGTGTGGGTCTGTACCACTGTCTTGTCGTCTGTGAGGGGCAATCAGCCAGGAAACACAGGAAATTTTAGAGTTTTTATTTTTCCATTAAAACCTCTTCTGAAAAGGACATAAGGAAAATTAAGGATGGTGCTAAAACTGCATTTTCCCCTTGTGTTTCCTTGGAGTCAGGATTTCTGTTTTATATTACTTAATGAAAATAGAATGTAATTGAGAACTGAATGATTTCTTCCTGCTTGCTTTCTCATATGCTCCAACATATTCCCAGTTGAGGAAAACAATCCAATGCTAATTTTCACTTACTCAGGAAAACAAGGGGAAAAAAAGTGAGAAAAATACTTTCATTTGAAAGTATTAGCACTTAAAATTCAGCTGAAAATACTTTTCAAAGCAAAAGTAAACTCTGACAAATCAAACTGCCGTTTCTTTTCTCTACTCTTTATTTTATCCCAGTTTCCCTAGGAGCAAAGTTAGCTGTTTCACCACTTTTTTGATTTTGTTTTTTTTTAAACACAAATACATTTAGAATTTTAGCTTTAAAGCTATTTTTTCCGAAGGATGGGTTTCTCTCTGGGGAAAAATATCATTTGCAGTTAAACTCTACTTTTCACTGTATAAAAACACAGCCGTAATAAAGAAACACGTCTTGAAAAAGCTGATGCAACCCCATGCTAATGATTGTGGCCAGCTGGTTTTGCAGTACTGGGGGCAGGGCATTGCCCAGCCTTGGCCTCTGGGATCCCTAAAAGCAAAGCAGAAAGAGAGATCCCTTCAGGTGGGTTGATCTAAGGCAGGACTTTGTGTGGAAAAAAATCTCTCTGATGTCTCTCTGTCAAGGTTGAAGATGCTCTTATACCTAATCAGAAACAGGAGACCTTGCTTTGAGGCATATAAAATCAGGTGAGAGTCATCAAGAGGCAGAAGCTAAGCTAAAATCACACACATCTCACTGCTCAGAAAGATTTGAGCAGCAGCATTTCAGAAGGGAAATGGGGAAGGAAGGGAGGGAGGGAGAGAGCCTTGTTCTCATCCCAGCTCCACTCTTCCTTCTGCCTTTCTCTGTTTTAGTGAGAAGCACTATCATTAATGCCTGAGTAGTTATCCTCATTGCCCAAAATTTCAGTATAACCTTCTGCTACCCACAGGGACCCCCATTCCCCAGCATCAGCAGTGCTGCCACACTCCTTACCTGTGCCACTTCCAACTCCCAGAACATTTATAGTCGATTTTCCATGGCCAAGACTGAAAGGATAAGTATGTGTTACTCAACCACATTATGTCACGTGACTTTTTGTTTTCATTCCTGTTGCTTGGATGACACATCGGCCCAGAAATTTTCATGTTATGCACATGAATTGGGATAGAAATTGGAGCATCCCTCTTGAGCCCAGCTATAACCAGCGTGGTGGGAGCCAGCCCAGTATTAGTAAGCTCATATTTCAAAGTACAGTAGGCAGCAGGGTGTAGTGTTTCCCCCCCTTTGCCAGAGAGTTTCCTTCAGGCTGTGGCTGGCACTGTGCAAAAAAGCTTTGGGGATCCCCAGGACAAAGGGCTCCCTTTGGGGGTAGCGGGGCTGTGCCTGGCTGGGGTGGGCACTGCTGAGAATGCAGGGACAAGGTGAGCTGGGGAGAACCTCTGCACCCTCAGGAGAAAATATTGGATATAAATACCCAGAGAAAGCAAAACCATCAGGCTATCCAGGTGATTGGAAATAACAGAATCACAGAATGTGCCGAGTTGGAAGGGACCCACAAATCATCTCTTATCAACATTAATCTTGGTTTAAAATTGGGAGGAATCCTCAATAACTTTTATCTTAGAAAAATTACTTATTAAAGGACTCCAGTCATGTGGTTCATAGCAGAATATTTAATAACAGCCTAGCTCAAGGTTGAGGGGCCATGTTCTGACTTGCTTTAAAGCTTTATTCTGCTCTTGGGCGTGGACTGTGCTGGGGAATTGAGTTTCCTGTACACAGTCTCAGGAGACACCACAGCAAGGATTCCGCAAGAGTGGAATGAGCAGCAAATCCTGAAGGGCATGAGTAGTCAAGGAGCCTTAGCCCTAATGAGGGTCAAGACCCTTTGACAGACCCACAATCAGCATCATAGAAAGCCACAAGGTTTTGCATCATTTAAATTCACAATAAAAATTTCCCAATACAATCTTCGAATTATTATAATTTTATTACTTATTTTTATATATATATGATCCAGAGAATAAAAAATTCCTACCCAAACTTTTTTCTCAATGGAGAATACAGTTGCTGTAACATCCAAAAATTACCCAAACTTGAAAGGGCTTTCTTATGGTTTGGATCTAGGCTGTTCTGAAATTATCTGCAGTTATCCAGTCTTAATATATTACATCAATACTTCACAAAACTGATTATCATTTGGTACTTAAGCAATGCAAATCGACTTAGGATAGAAATAAGGAAGTCTTAGGGGATTGAGAAAACCAAGAATTAGTCACTAGAAGAGAATTAGAAATGTGTTTCTGTTTAGATGGTGTGTGATGAAGTCCCAAAAGCAGGGAGAGACCGCATGAGAGCTTTCTTTCGAAAAAAACAAACAACCAAAAAACCCAAATTTAATCCTTGGAAAATCAGCTATTGAAAAGAGATGGACATGAAAGTGAGGTCTTGATTCTTTCCTTAACATAAGCTAAGGGGCAGCACAGTGTGTTAATTGAAATAGCACATACTCTGGAGTCCTTTATCAGAATATCCTGTAACTCAGTATTAGGGGATTTAAAACCAAAAAGCATTAAAGTTCATTGCTGCCCAAAAAAACCCTTAAAATGTATTTGCTGACCCTTGTATGCAGGTTGCCCTCCCTGGATAACAGATGGCTTTCCCAACTCAGTGGAAGCAATCCTTACCCAGCCATGATGTTGGGCAGTTGTTCCTTGTTGAACTCATCCATGCACTGGTGCTCTGTTGAATGATCCAAAAATGTCTTAAAAGCCTCCACATACTCCTCAGCTGTGAGACTTCTCATGGAAGGGATCGTATACAGCTCTTGAGAAACAAATATTGATTGTGTGTTAGTGGTTTCAAGGCAAGTGAAGGGTCAAAGCACTTACCTCATGGAAGAAACCCAACCCAACCCAACAGGAGAGAGAGATTAGGGAAGATGATGCAGAGGATGCACTTTCCAACTGGTTCACACTCAGGGTTTGAAAATTATTCTTGGATATCCTTTGACATCAGCATTTTTGTTAAGTGCCTCATCACTAGAGGTAAGCCTGAGGAAAATGTCTCCAAAATGCTTAGGCAGACATGGGGACTGGAGGGTTTTTCTAGAAGACTAAAGAAGAGAATGTGAAGGGAATTGCACAGCAGGTCCACACTTGGTGGGGGGGCCATCACTTGTGCCCATGCTGGACAGTGTAACTGAGATGGGCAGCTACTGACACACTTCTTAGGAAAGGTGATGCAACACAAAAACTGCCACCTGCAGCTGAAGCAAAAATAGTCAACCCTGTGCACCTCATTTCTGACTCTTGCCAGCATGGGACTGAAATGGGCTTCCAGGGAGGTGAATTCCCTACTGGGAACTGCAGCTCATGGCCAGGAGAGCAACTGATATCAAAACATTTCATCTGAATGGGCTCATGTTCAAATGTGGTTGGCTGACACCAAGATTTCTCTCTCAGAGTCGAAACCAGTGGTTGCAAGCAATTATTGTAAAAACTCCCTTTCCTGCTGTCTCATCCTAGTTGTTGCCAGGGCACAAGCTCTGGCCAACTGCTTGGGTGTGAGGGCCTACAACAGTACTAAGACCAGAGGCTCACAAGAAGATGCCCTGCAGCTGGGTACTGGGTCTGGGTCTGTCTCAGGCAGAGGGCTGCAGTAGGAAGGCAGTTGTAGTGCCAGCCTCAATGTGCGAGATCAACGTTGGAAAGGCATCATTCAGTGGGGAAAAAATCAGCTTTTCCTCCTAGACAAAATGAGGGTGAAGCACAGGACACAGCAGAACATCATCGTCCTCATTTTTGCCTTTCAGGGAGCTGCTTTCTTATCATCTGCTTTTAGTTGCCACTAATAAGAAAACTGTATATCTCATCCAGGACTGTGCCATCTCAAATTAAATGACTCTGCTGTTTCCAAAACCACATGTCATTGACAGCTGTGTTTCTGGTCCAGAAAAATATCAACATCTACCCTCAACACTTTTAATTAAACTCTAACATAAACCTGAAATCACCTGAATTGCAGTCAGTTTATCTTCCTACTTCTTTCTTTTTTTTTTTTAAAACAATCTCTAACTCCAAAAGAATTAAAATATGTTTGTAATGATAGCAAGCTGAGTGGGCATTTTACTTTATTCTCCTTTTTTATTCTCCCAAATACCTGAATTATCGTGTGGAGTTGTCAGAATCTCTGCTTCAAAGTTCATGCTGGGGAAACTATTCCTGTAAGGAAAGTATAGCACTTCAGTTATTTGAAGAACCTGTATTTTTTTGAAGCTGCATTGAAAATGCAGAACAAAGGGAAGATGCTCCAGGACAGATTTTCCTCTCCTGATAATCAATGATTTGTTCTTTTTTACTAAAGGAAGTCAAAACTTCTTTGTTAGCTGATCATAGAGTCATAGAATCCTAGAATATTTTGGATGGAAAGGGACCTTAAAGCTCAGCTTGTACCAACCCTCTGCCATGGGCAGGGACACCTTTCACTAGACCAGGTTGCTCCAAGCCCCATTCAACCTGGCCTTGGACACTTCCAGGGAGGGGGCATCCAGAACTGGCCACCTGCACCAGTGTTTGTCTGAGATGTGTTGTGGAAGTTTTTGTACCCCAGCAAAATCATTTACCAGTCAATGCAGTTGAAGGCATTAGACTGATATTACATACCCTGTGAAACCTTGAATCATGGATGGAATAAAAGAAAGAGCAGTGAAATTAGGAGAAGATTATAGTGAGCATCAGCATCCAAAGTGCTAAAATATCTGCTTGGCCTGTTGTTTCAGGGACCCTTTTTGCTTTGCTTTTTTTGCCTTTTTTTTGTTTTTGTTTTTTTGCGGGGTTTTGGGGGGGCTGTTTGTTTGTTTTGTTTTGTTTTGTTTTGTTTTGTTTTTTTACTTCAGATTTTCCTGGCTGCAAATATTACATCAGGTAACTTGCAGAAGATATTTGTTCCAAGGACAAAAGTCAAAGAGGGCATTTGGCCATAAATGTTTTCATTCAGTTACATGTTTTCACTCAGTTTTCGGGAGCTTTTTTTTTGTGAAGACCTCCAGCAATGGAGTCACATCTTCTTTCCTTTTAAAATATGCCTCATCTCTAAAACAGGGATGAGGTGCCACTGGAAAAAAGGAAGGGAGGAAATTAAATTGGAGCAAGGACCTTGCTTCTGCAAATAAAATGTTGGGCTGATCTGTCTATGCAAAGGGAATAGTCACCTCCTGGGTAACCACATTTCAGCATCAAGATGCACAGCAAGACTTAAGGGTGATATTCCTGTATAATCTCTGTATAACCTAACACATCACTGCTCCCAAAACCTTGCTGTTAGAACATGCTTCATGAGAAGCAGTCTGAGATAGCAGACAACAACCCACAACTCTCCTCTGCCATGGAAAAAAATCCCATATGAAGAAGAAACAAGGTAGGAGGTGGAAAAGTAAAGAAGGGAGTCTTGTGGTGGGGCTTTGAGGTACAAATATGTAACAATTTGCTGGCAGGTAGCAAAGAAGTGGCCACAGGTGCAAATAGCACACTGCTTTGGTTGATGAAGGCAAGAAAGGACTGAGATGTCCCAGAAGTCTTGGAGATGCTGGGGCAGTGCCAGAGTTCTGCAAAGAGCAGTTGATTTCCTCTGAGTTCAGTACCAAAGCCATGTAATTGTCTCAAAGGTCTCAGTTTCACCACCTTGACCTCACCTCTCCTCAGGAAAGGCCTCATGGAAGTTCAACAGGAACAAGCCTGAACTCAGCCCACCTCCATAAGCTCCAGCTTGGCTGCAGGCCAGTCCCTCCAATTTCCACTCGACCCTCTTCCATCTCTGCCTGCCAATACAGAGGACTGTTTTGTCCCCTCAGCTGGCTCAACCCAGCAAGATGGTTTTCAGAACAAATGTCCCGCTAATATGCTGAGGGGTAGCATGGCTTCCCCTGTTCCCCTGGCTTCCTTAGAGGAACAGCTCTGGGCATGAGCTCCATTTCTGACCGGTCAAATGTTTCCAGCCGTGCCAGGAGACCTGCCAGGTGACCTGGGCAGAGTGCAGCACAGGAATGCACCAGGACGGATGACACCAAGATAACTCTTCCACTGACACTTTTGCCATTTCTCCCCAGGCAGGGGTTAGATTCTAAGATTGATTAACACTTGTCAGTAGCAAGGTAAAACGGGAACAAATAGACTTCCTCTAAAATCTGGCTTAAAATCTAGATCCTAAAATTTGAATACAAAATTTTGGGCTGATGCTGCCCACCCCAAGGCCCCAGTACCCCACAGCAGGACCGAGCTGGTGACTGCCAGGGAGTGGGATGCTCACAGGCTGCTGGTCCTGCCCCAGGTCCCAGCTAAGATGGAGCTTGTATCACCAAGGTTAAACCTCTTCCCTCCACAAACCAAGCAGGATGCATTATGGACTGCAGGTGCAGGGCACAGAGGGAATTCACAGTGTTGCTTTAAAGGATGCAGCCCCCTTAAGTTAAAGTTTTTTCTAGAAATACAAATTGCAAGAATATCTTCATAACTCATATACATTTCATTACACCTAAACTTAGGCTGTGAAGGGGCTAAAGGTCTCCCTTAGCCCTCATCCCTCCCAGGACATGGGCACATCCTCTGCCACTCCTACCTTACACACACCCGTCTGTGACACAGAAACAGCGAGATGTTGGGGAAACACCATCCCGCTCCCCTCCAAAACTCACCTCTTCGCCGCGTCCATTGTCGGGGTGGCTGCTGTCCAGGGGCACAGGAGTTGGTCTTTGATGATCCTTGTGGGTCCCTTTCAGCTCAGAATACTCTGAGCTTCTGTGACACAGCAGCTGGGCACGGGGCCGGGGGTCAGCCCCTAGGTCAGCATGTCCACCTGCCGCCCGCGCCGCGCCGGACGCTCAAACCCCGCGGCGCTGGGGGCGACCCGGGAGCGCGGCCGCGGCTCTGCCGGCACCTGTCGGGACAGGCAGCGTCACTGGGGCGAGGGGGGGAAACCCGAGCCCCGCGGGGAAGCAGCGGGGGGCCGGGGCGGGCAGTGAGCGGGGCCCGGCGTCCGCAGGGATGTCCTCATCGCGCGGGGGTTGCGCTGCGGTCAGGGGGAGAGAAACAAAAAAAGGGACACATTGAGACTTCCAAACCTTTAAAGCCCGGGTGGAAGTGGCTGAGGAGTGTCCGGACGGACGGGAGGCTATTTGCGTTCACTTTTTAATGTGCTGTAAAACCTTCCTCCGTGCTCACCGCCCTGGGCAGAAGGGGACGCTTTCCTGCATCCTTGCCGCGCTGCTGCCTGATGGATGGGGCATGCACTGAGAGATCCCTGCTTTCTCCAGGGACAAGAGGAGCTCACTGACTGCCCAGAGACCTGAGCAAGTGATTTTTCCATCTCTGATTCAGGTGGAAATGGGGCATAATGGCAGCACCTCTTGCAGCCCCGCAGTAGGGTAGCCTGGCGCATCCCCGATCCTGCCCCACGAAGGGGAGGGGGGTGGGTGGGCAACCAGGACGGGGGGCAGCGAGCCCAGCCTGCTCCCTCTCTGCTTGCAAAACCGCAGGGATTAGAAGGCAAGAAAACCTTTTTTGGGACAGCTGTCCAAGCCAGAGGTGGCTGGAGGTTCCCAGCAGAGGCTAACACAGCAGAAGGTGCAGTGGTCGCCGTTCCAAATACAGGAAATCCTGAGTGTCCCCTGCACCCTGCATCAGCTTTTCCCCTGCCCACATCCACAGGACTGATGCTCCTTTTGCCTAAAATCTAATAACACAAATGTAAAAAAAGAAAGGATTTAATAACTTTCTATTTCCAAGTGAAGTCCACTTGTGGAAAGAGCAGCATTAGGACCCTCTTCACTCCCTTCCCCTGAGGGCAATGGGTAGAAAAGATTTAGCAGATGATGAATAAAGCCTCATCCCTTGCTGAGCTACCCAAAACACTGCCTGCCCCACACAGATCCCTGAGACCAGGGACTTCAAGTGGGGAGGTTTCATCATCAAGTGACCTGCCTTGATTTAGACTGGATTTGGCTTCCAAATGGATTCAAGTTATCCACTGTGAGGCAGGTCCACAGCAGCACATTAAGCTAGAAATGACTGCATTGCTACTCCTAAACAAAATATTCCAAATATTTATTGAAATATTTTGAATAGGTGAGGAAAGACAAGAACCTCTTTGCTAGATCTAAAGTGCAGATTTGGCTCCATTTGACTGTCTGAGCAATGATTTTTACATCAGTCAATTCGATCCCTAAACATTCCTACCAGAGGTGCCAGTCCCCAACACCAACTGTGCACCAGTGGGTGCACCTGGAATGTCTCAGCTGCCTCATGACCCCCAGCCACCTCTGCCTTGTCCCAGCTAAGCTACCCCTCCATTCCCCCATGACAACGCCAGGGATGGACACCCTGCAGGTCCCGGCAGGAAGCCATACCTCCCCAGAGCAACAGGAGCTGTTGAGAAATCTCCAGCATCCAGGAGCTGCGCAGCCCTTGGAAACCTCCTTGTACATCCAGGGGGTACTGATACCCCTCCCTGTCCTCTTGTGTCCCTCCCAGCTCCAGGAGACCACGTAGGCGCATGCCACAACTGAGCCGGCATTAGCCTACAACAACAGCCTTTGTTCCCCAGTGCTGGAAACAACGGGACATTGTGGGCAGCTGCCCTGGCCGGCAGAAATTGGCAGCAGGGTGGCTTTGGAGGATGTACCCTCTGCAAGCCGTGTTTTCGGGTGTTCTGGCAGGCTCGTGACTAAATCCGCTCTGAACTCTGTTTTCCGTGCAAATCGAAAAAGCTGGTGTTTGATCAGTGAGGTGATGGCTAAAGCTAGAGCTGGGCTGCAGGGAGAGAAAAACAAAGAAACTGTGTTTATCCCCACACGCTGCGGCTGCTGAGGTCAGTTTTGGGCTGATCCAGCAGAAATAGGTCATTCGCTTTCCCCAGGGCAAGCAATGCCTGAGGCTGGTATTGCCCACAGCCCCAAGCTCCCTCGATGTTCCATCTCTGCCATCCCATCATGACAAGCTTGGACCTGTGTCTCCAGGCAGAAAAGCCTGGATATTCAGAAATCAAATTTCAATAACTTTATCTTCTAAATAGTGATCAGCTTTTAGGCTGATGAATGTCAGGAAGGTCCTTGGCATTTTTACAGAATGTCCATGGAAGCGAGGTTGGAACTAGATGGTCTTTAAGGTCCCTTCCAACCCAAACCAGTCTGTAATTCTATGATTAGTAGTATATTTTTTGAAACCCTTTCAGCTCCACCTAGGGCAACTGATTAAGGCTCATGTAATTTTTTTTGTGTAACTGATTTTCTCGTGAGCAGAGGTCTTCTCTTCTGCAGCAGTTTTCCCTTTTTCAATGGAAGTGTTTTCATCGCTACATATTTTCAGTTTTCTAGATGTATCTCCCAAAATACATCCAGCAGTTTCTCTACTCTCCTAAGTGAAATATTTGGTGCAAACATGTTATTCTGCATCAAGCAAGTTCCAGTAAATAGAATGATAACCAGCAATTTTGTAGCACCCATTTTCCTATAGTTAAAGAAAAGATTTCTCATTAAAGGAGAAGATTTTTTGCTTTAATCCTATTAAATATTTAACATCTGGGAAGCAGTAGGTCTTGGAGTTTGAGCAACAGTATTTGTTTTTTATATGTGTGTACAGCATATTTTCCTATAGGAAAAAGAATATGATTTCTGATAAATACTGAAAAAAACAATATCACAGAAATAGAACCCATCCCTCCATGGGAGTAAAAGCTGCTGGGCTCCAGTCATGTTTGTATTCAACCTCCCAAAGAACCCAAAGTATCTAGGTCCGAAGATCAATTTTTTTTTTTTTAACACAGCCCTTCTTGCCTTTTCATTAAAGCCTGGGTGCTGGTTCAGTTCTTCCAGACCTTTAAAAACAACCCTTCTCAAACCATTTGACTAGAGGTCATAACTCATGTAGTGGTAATTACAGAGACAAGGAGAGGGCAAAGGGAGAGTCTGATGTGGCTGCCTGCAGGAAAGGCTCTTTTATTCAAGGTGAAGACCAGCTTTGCTCTACAGACTATACAGTATTAAAAAAAACAAACAAACAAACATATATCTCTGAGAGCAAAGGCAGGTATGGTAAAATGTGCCTTTTACCCCTCAAAAGCTCACGCATTTTCAGCCAGGAAAACACACTCAAAATTCAAATTTCCCTGTAGCTGCCAATAGCATGTGCTGGGAGTGCAGCCTCAGCAGGATTAAACATTTCCAACAGGTAGAGAGCTCCAAAACAGGGGTATCTGCAAAACCTGCTGTACCAAAATGTGAGGAATTGCCAGCAAAAGATTTTGTCCCTAACTCAAAGTCAGCAGTGCAAGTAGTAAGGTCTGGAGACTGGTCCTTGAGAAGTTTTTCTGGTTCAAAAGGATGGACTAAGAGGAACAGGGTTTGGGTTTTTTTGTAAGAAGGCTGTGAAAAGGGACCCTCACAGGGCTGGAATGGCTGAGGAGGTATCTGCAGGGAGCTCAGTGCCACAGGAGGTTGGCTTTATGTTAAGGTTTCTCAGCAGTGCTGGTGTGCTAATTTGTTGCTCCTGTGCTTTGGTAGAGTTCACCCACCAACCTATAACTAGAAGCAATAAGTCTGCCGGTGCAGGAGTTACAGCTGGGCAGTTTGGAGTAATCCCAGCATGTCACAAAGTGATGTAAACTGCTGCAGACCCAGGGACCCACCAGTGCTCTGCTCCCCTATGGGCCATAAAGAAGTCAGAGAGCAGGCAACACAAAAGAAGCACTGAATTATTGTGACTGATTACATTTCAATTGCACCTGAAATGAAAGATCAGAATTTAAATTCTTTTTACTTACCTCCTCTTGAAGGAAGGCTGGGCCCAGCCATCACGGCAGAAGTGACACCGCACCGCCTCCGAAGGGAGGGGGCCTGAACACTTGGAACAGCCAAAGTATCCCAGGAGAAGCCACCCTGCCCGGCAAAAGTTTGTTACAAAGCTGGAATATTTCCTGGAAAGTAGATAAGATGATGAGTCACCTTTTCTCTGTGTAAGCATAGAGAGTAAGAGGTGGGAGAGTGGGTATGAATCCAATGGGAGATGCTCACCTTTCACAGAAGTTCTGGCCGCGCTTCTGTGATTCTGGTCTCTCCCAATCTTAAAAAGAGTATGCACTTCTTAAAGTTTCCTTTCTGCCATCTCTCAAACCTGAGGAATATTTATAAAAATAGATCAAACCAAGCAGCTTTGGCTAATCAAGTTCAGCAACATGCGTGTCTATCATTCAGCAGATTGTGGTAACAGAGGAGAGCATGTCAAAACGAAGGGACCACAGATTTATTTTACCAAAAGCCACTAGATGGGGATGTGAGGACGTTTTTCTGGTCTCTGTTACACACGGATCCCGTTATGCTGAGCTCGAGCTGACCTTTCCCGCTCACATGGGCTGCTGCTGTCTTTGCTTTTTGTTTTTAGGAGCTGACAGAGGTCATTTGGAAACTTATCACTCGCTGAGTTCTCATCCTGTAAGGAATCAGGCCTCAGGCAGCTGATACAGTGCGATTATTGCTTGACAAATATTATTCTCTGCACCAAGACTCAGTAGAGGGAAGAGTGAAGGATTTGGCTTTCAGTTTGTGGATTAGTCTTCTTTTATAGGCTGTGGAAAGGAAAAGCGCTTTGTATTGAACATAGTGGGGGGGAAAAAGTGTATTCAGCAAACTGGTAATCTCTGAAAATGTCCATACTTTGGAATGGTTACTGTGGAAAAAAGCCAGGAGATTTTCTCAGGCTCAATAGTCAAACCTCTGGGTATTTTTTTTTTTTTAGTTTCTCCTCTTTTGAAAGCCCTAGTTCTCCTATGAATAAGAGAGATAAAGTCAGGAAAATTGGTTTGGCGGAGGTGTAGGCAGGAT